ATGATACACCGCGGGTCGGCTCGTCCTATATAATCCCACTTGTAACATACCTAAAGAATTATTACAATCAGTTATTTTGTTTAACATTGTACCGGTTTCCTACATTTATAATGTGTATAATTACCCGAAACGCTTCTATACCGAAAAAAATGGAATCGAACTTAAACTTTGACTGAACGTTTTAAGTAAATTTGCAATTGAAGAGGAATTCAACCGTTTTGGCACGCAAGAATAGTTTATGTATTGAACCCAGATTCGAACTCGAGACTTTCGGGTTCGCAGTCTGGTTCTCTGCCACTAGGCTACGCCGTCCTGTAGGTAATCGCTGTTAACTTTAATGAATCCTGTGAATGTTAACGAACATAATCTCAAACATAATCTCCTGGTCAACCAAACCTTAGTCTGGCCTTAAAATGAATTTTGCGAGCCTTGTGTCAGTGTCAGTATCAGTACTAACCAACTGACCCCCTACCTCTAGCAGCTAATTTCACGTTTTAACCATTGTATCATTACTAAAAAACTGACCCTCAAACCTCTAGCAGCTAATTTCACGTGTCAATATTGGTATCATTATTAAACAACTGACCCTCAAACCTCTAGCAGCTAATTTCACGTGTCAATATTCGTATCATTATTAAACAACTGACCCTCTACCTCTAGCAGCTAATTTCACGTGTCAATATTGGTATCATTATTAAACAACTGACCCTCAAACCTCTAGCAGCTAATTTCACGTGTCAATATTCGTATCATTATTAAACAACTGACCCTCTACCTCTAGCAACTAATTTCACGTGTCAATATTCGTATCATTATTAAACAACTGACCCTCTACCTCTAGCAGCTAATTTCACGTGTCAATATTGGTATCATTATTAAACAACTGACCCTCTACCTCTAGCAGCTAATTTCACGTGTCAATATTCGTATCATTATTAAACAACTGACCCTCTACCTCTAGCAACTAATTTCACGTGTCAATATTCGTATCATTATTAAACAACTGACCCTCTACCTCTAGCAGCTAATTTCACGTGTCAATATTGGTATCATTATTAAACAACTGACCCTCTACCTCTAGCAGCTAATTTCACGTGTCAATATTCGTATCATTATTAAACAACTGACCCTCTACCTCTAGCAACTAATTTCACGTGTCAATATTCGTATCATTATTAAACAACTGACCCTCTACCTCTAGCAGCTAATTTCACGTGTCAATATTGGTATCATTATTAAACAACTGACCCTCTACCTCTAGCAGCTAATTTCACGTGTCAATATTCGTATCATTATTAAACAACTGACCCTCTACCTCTAGCAGCTAATTTCACGTGTCAATATTCGTATCAACTGTCCACTTACCTCTAGCAGCTAATTTCACAAATCACTTTTTTAAAAATCTTACCATGACTCACTGTTAACGGTTAGCCACCAACTGACCCCCCCCCCCCGACCCCTTCACTCACAGGTTAGCTCCCTCATGCGAGTGATCCTCCATAAATCCTAAGGTTTCCTCCCCTAACCCCCAACTCCCCTATCCCCTTCCTGTCTCACACGAAGCCATAAAAAAATCTCTCAACGACTATATACACAGGGGAATTCGCTGAATGTTTTTCTATCGTTTCATTTTTCTGGTTTGTTTCGTTTAATTTGTTTTATTTACTATGATTACTTTTTTAATGGTAAGAAAAGAGATATGAAATTTGAACTAACACAAGCCCACGCAGTACACAAACATATGCACATACTTAAACACAGACTAAAACACTCATAGTATAACACATAAACACATACACACACGAACATCGCACACTAAATCACACACACACAGACTTAAACACACATACGCTAAAACACTAAAATACACGTTCTAAAAGACACACTTTAAATAGCACACAAGAGACTCAAAAAGCACACAAATTATCTGAAGGATTGAAATTATTTATTTCTCATTAATTATTACAGAGAAAAACTTCTTTGATCGCCAGTTAAGATTTTTGTGTAACATAGTTCCAGGAAACTGGAATAAATTGTGTTTTTTTTTAAATTAATTAAGACGTCTCCGCCATATTTTCTTTAAATGAAAATTCGTTTAATTAATTTTTTGCGGCTGTTAATGTTTTGGTCAATTCGTTTAATCAAACCTGTCTTAATTGCTCATTTTTAATGGTTTAATTTCCAAGTAAAAACTGTCACGTGCCAATCTGACGTGACATGACTGTGTGAGTCACGTTCTATCCTTCGGGCATCAGATGTCCACGGAGAGTTTCTTTAAAACACATACACAAACATAAACACACTTTCAGATACACAACTGGGCACACATATGTAAAAACATAAACACACATATACACTCACACACACATATATATACATATATGAATATATATATATATATATATATATATATATATATATATATATATATATATATATATATATATATATATATATATATATATATATATATATATATATATATATATATATATATATATATATATATATATATATATATATATATATATGTATATGTATATATATATATATGTATATGTATATATATATATATATATTCATATATATATATATATATATATATATATATATATATATATATATATATATATATATATATATATTCATATATGTATATATACCAATGTATATCTTCGAGTCTTTTGGTGTAAATTGCTTTCATTCGTAAGGTTCTAGCAAACACTTTTAAACAATGTTTACAAAATCACCAAAGCTTAGTTCTATGTGTTGTTAGTAACAAGCCTATAAAAGGGCGTTCAGCTTCTGTTATAGATGTAAACATGAAAGAAGAAGAATTATATGCTATATGTTAATTTTTTGATCTTTGAAATTTACGTTATGTGGAATTCAAACTATTTTAAATATAAGAAAAATAACACTATAAATTAGCATCCAGCTAAAAGAACAAATAGTCAATTTTTCACCTTTATACTTCAGTGTTTATTTTTTGCTAGTTATTTACAACGAGCCGACCCGCTGCGTATCATACGCCCAGTAGCGTAGCGAGGGGGGGGGGGGCGGGGGGGGGGACATATGTCCCCGGGCGCCGACCTTAGGGGGGGGCGCCAAATTGAAAGTTTGAGGGGGGTGCAAATGAAAAGTTCGAGGGGGGGGGTGCAAATCGAAAGTTTGAGGGGGGGGGGGGTGCAAATGAAAAGTTCGAGGGGGGGGGGGTGCAAATCGAAAATTTGCTCCCAAGGGGGCGCCAAATTGAAAGTATGTCCCCGGGCGCCGGGAAGGGTCGCTACGCCTCTGCATACGCCGCTATTTAGTTGTTTTTTTACTACTTTTCAGTAATTTATAATTTGTGAATTCGACAGTACCAATGCTGTCACTGAAAATATTTGCTTAAAAACACTAAACCCCCCTTCCCCCCCCCCCACGTGAAAGCAGCCTCCTCTTAGTTACCTCCTCTAAGTTTACAATCGTTTCAAACTCAATTATCTGCCCCTAATAGCCGTCACCAAACCCGTCTCTATGATTGTAAAATGTAAACAGAGTGAACACCGCTCACCAGATCATGTGGGGGTGGGGTGGGGGTGGTAGTGAGAGTGATAGAGAGGAAGAGAGGGGACTGCAAAGGCGCGCTTGCAGCTTGTTCCCACGTTTTCTTTAACTTGCTTTCTCTGTTTGTTTGTTTTTCCAATCAAATCTTGCGATCGAAATTTCTGGCACTTCCCAGTTAGCTAGCGCGCTGAAATTTTCAGGGAAGCTTTCTTTTGGATGACCATAGAATATTCAATTGTTATTATTACTAAATTGATCAATGGAAACATTTTATTGAGCATTTTAGACCGCTATATAATCTATATATATAATTCTCCTCTGCGAGCCATTAGAAAAAAAACGAGCGACGCGTAGCTCGCCTCTCTCTTGCCGCGCGCAGTGACGCGAAACGATCCCACGTCGCGACAGGCTTAGGGGCAGATAATTTAGTTTGAACCGACTTTAAACTTACAGGAGGTAACTATTACCACTGGTGGCCAGTTTGGGGGAGACGATATGGTCGAGTGGTTGGGCACACGATTGCTATCCCACTCGACACGGGTTCAAATCTATGTGTTCTAGTCAGTAACCAGCCCTCGTCCTAACCGCTATCAACTAACCTCTGACAATCATTCACTTGCGATTGAGACCGAAGAAGAAAGGGTCTCTCGTTTTTTACGAGTTGTCTTTTTACGAGTTGTCTTGGTTTACCCAAAAAAAAGTGAAAAGATTAAATCGATAGCAAGATTTCAATGCAAACAAACATAATAATAATCATTAAAAAAGTTAAAAAAAACCCACGTTTTCTGATTGAACTAAAAAGTAGAAAATAAATACTATACATCACAATAATGCAAGCGATCACTCTACTATAAGCGATGAAAAACGTGGGGCGCCGTGATTTTCTTACAGTTTCTAATACTGTTGACTCTCTACAAGCTCCCTAATAAAAGTCAATAGTATTATCTAATCAATAGTAATATAACTTTTACTTCGGCGCCCCACGTTTTTCATCGCTTATAGTAGAGTGATCGCTTGCATTATTGTGATGTATAGTATTTATTTTCTACTTTTTAGTTCAATCAGAAAACGTGGGTTTTTTTAAACTTTTTTAATGATTATTATTTTCTAACTGATCCCAGAAGAGAATTATATATATATAGATTATATCTGTAGGAAGTTCTCCAGTGTTCTATAAATAGCAATGTCATGTCACGTGACTGCTTTTTTTTTTGTTTTTTTTGTTGTTAATCCTGGCGACTGGAAAGTCATTAAAAATTAAACGTATATTTTGTTTTACAGTGTTCTATAAATAGCCAACCCGAGTCACGTGACTAGGCTTTGTTTTGTTTTGTCGTACCAACTGGAAAGCCGATACCAATGATTATATCTGTACGTTGTTTTCTAGTGTTCTATAAATAGCCAACCCGAGTCACGTGACTGAGCTTTGTTTTTGTTTATCTTGGCAACAGGAAAGCCAATATCGTGGACACGATGTTCAAGATGCTGGAGAAATATTCCACAGACCTGGAGGACATTGTAGCCGAGAGGACCATGCAACTGGAGGAGGAGAAGAAGAAAACTGACCAGCTGCTCTTCCGGATGCTACCTCCGTAAGTAGATGCTACCTCCGTAAGTAGATGCTACCTCCGTAAGTAGTTGCTACCTCCGTAAGTAGATGCTACTATCGTAAGTAGTAGCTTCATCTGTTAGTAGATGCTTCTTCCGTAAGTAGTGGCAACCTCCGTAAGTAAATGCTAACTCAGTAAGCAGTGGCTACCTTCGTAAGTAGATGTTACCTCTGTAGATGCTACCTCCGAAGTAGTGGCTACCTCCGTAAGTTGTGGCTACCTCCGTAATTAGTGGCTACCTCCGTAAGTTGTGGCTACCTCCGTAAATAGATGCTCCTCCGTAAGTAGTGGCTACGTGCGTAAGTAATGCTACCTCGTAAGTAGATGCTACCCCCGTAAGTAGATGCTACCTCTGTAAGTAGATGCTACCTCCGTAAGTAAATGCTACCTCCGTAAGTAGATGCTACCTCCTTAAGTAGTGGCTACCTCCATAAGTAGATGCTATCTCCTTAAGTAGTAGCTACCTACGTAAGTAGTGGAGGTCTCCGTAAGTGGTGGCAACCTCCGTAAGTAGATGCTACCTCTATTTATAGTGGATAGCTCTGCTATTAGATTCTACCACTGTAAGTAATGGCTCCCTCTGTAAATTGTGGCTACATCTGTAAGTTAAGGCTGTCCCTGTGCATCGTGGCTATCTCCGAAAGTATTGGCTACATCCATAAATAAAAGCTGTTTTTGTTTATAGTGGCTACCTCCATAAGTATTGGTTACTTTTTTAGCGGCTAAATCTACAAGTTGTAATTAGATCCCCAAAACGTCATTACCTTTATACGCAGTGGCAACATATAGACAATGGCTACCTCTACCATTAGTAATTACCTCTCATACTGACTAGAAGGCTTACGTCTATTGGTAGTGGGTACCGATGAATAAAGGGGCTAACCTTTAAAAAGCGGAGTTAGCTCCCTTGATGTTTTTAATATTGTTGTGTTCCCAACATTGTATAATTGAACACTAAACACTGTTCTATTAAACACAATAACTCTCTGATTAAACACAATTAACTTTCGTTTATCAAATACACAAAAACTGTTTTCTCATTATCTTAACAAATTATCTCATCAAACACAATACACTGACTCGCATTAAACTTAACAAACCGAACCACTGACCATAGTGAAGCAGCTAATTCTACAAGCAAGACTGCTTCGTTAAAGACAGTAATTAATGTCATTAAGTTACGTCATCTCACGCTCTATCTAATCTCGATTTTAAACCCCCACATCCACTAATTACTTCCTTCAACATATATTAATTACAATTATGTGGTTACTCTCATTAACCTTGAAGTAAACAGCTTAATTATCGTAGGGTATTTCTAGCAGTTAACATTTAAATTAGCACCTATACACGTTTCAATTAAGGACTGCTGTGAATTTTTTTTAAACAAAATATAATCAGGAAGTGCCGGAAGAGTGCGATTAATTTACTTTAATTAAAACATTAGTTGCACCTAACGATTTACTTGACATCCCATTACAGCATTTTAAGACCAATCCTAGCGAGTTAATATCGCCAGAAGGTTATCTGGACATGGCTGTCTATTTAATGCGATAATTACTTTGGTTGTACTTTAAATCTTACTGACTAAGTACAAAAGGTGGCGTTTACAGGGAAAGTACAAAATTTAGAAAAATTATAATTTTCTTTTGATATTTTGCCTAGGCTTATGTTTTGGCATTTTATAGTGTAACCCTCACTCAGTGGGGATGCTTTTACCCACTGAGGTGTTGTGGTTAAGACGGGCTGACCCTGAGATTAAGAACACACTCACACCGACAGTTGTTGTCAAGTACTCGCTTTATTTACAGCATCGAGCCATGAGGGCGATGCAACACAGTAGTACGACGATTTCAAAGAGAAAATACTGAAGCAACAGGAAACCAAGAAAACAAAAAAACTGTAGCCCTAAAACAAATGTAAATAAAAAGTTACATTCATGACAACCCCACGTGTAGGCTACAATATACACGGGTAACAATAAAATATGTTTCGGCCAGTACACAGTACTGTCGACAAGTACCAATAAGTAGTACTACAAATAAATACTTATATTAATACTCACCCTAACTAGTGTGCACATGCAGCACTAGCAGGAATACACAAATAAGTATTTTAACAAACATAATTTATTTTGAATTCATACAACGCGCATAAACACACACATACACACAGAAACACACACAGACACGCTCGCTCGCACGCACACACACACATGTATATATAGGCCCATATATATATATATATATATCCATTTACATATATACATATATACATATTAAAATATTTTATTTATAGCAGATCAGCCTGAAAACGGAAAATTGAAAAATAAAATCGCCAAAACATACTTATACATAAAGTATACAGTTTTTATCGTAGTAATTATGATTAAACCGCTATAAAATTATAGATATGGCATTTTAAATATGGCATAAAGCTACTTGCAAAATTTCAATTAAGATGGTTGATATTCTTTTAAAAAATATTCGAGAAAGATAAAAAGCTATATAAAATATACATTCCAATTATTAAACACGTGTTTTGTTTCATACATGCACCTAAATTTAAGGCATTTTTTATACCTGTATGGCTGTATGGTCATAATTGTTTGCTGAATTATTTTGTTATGTTCGATTTTATCTGGGTGCCATTGCCCACTTTAAAAAACCACTCACCTGGGTGTCATGTATTACAGCACCGTCGCGGAGAGCCTGAAAATCGGGAGAACAGTGGAGGCCGAGTGTTTTGATGAGGTCACCATCTACTTCTCCGACATCGTCGGCTTCACCACCATCTCCGCCATGTCCACACCCATGCAGGTCGTTGACCTTTTGAATGACCTCTACACGATGTTTGACGCGACCATCAACAACCACGACGTGTATAAGGTAGGGATGAGATCTATAATATGTAGTTATAAGGTGTGTATGAGATCGATAATCTGTAGTTAGAAGGTAGGTATCAAATCGATAATCTGTAGTTAGAAGGTCTGTATGGGATCGATAATCTGTAGTTAGGAGGTAGGTATCAAATCGATAATCGGTAGATAGAAGGTATGTATGAAATCGATAATCTGTTGTTAGAAGGTTTGTATGAGATCGAAGCTTTTTAGTTTAGTTTAGGGCGAGATTGACAATCTGTGGTTAAGGTTAGGGCTAAGTTAGTGGACACTGAAAACATTGACGGCGTAGAATAATTTTATAGAAGACAAGTCAAAGCTTCACTGATAGTATCAGAGTTTCTTTCAGGCATTTCTCCAGGGAGGAGGGGGGAGAGGAGGACACCGAAGCACAATTACTGTCTCCCCCCCCCCCTTGAAACAATAAAATTAATATACTAAATATACACAAATGCTCCCTAGAGAAAAATGTCCGAAAAAAAAAACCAGTGGTTAGTGTAACTCACAATGAAAGACCTTAGTCTCAATTTGACTACGTTAAATAAGATATGTTAGCCCCAATCCTGACATATATAGAGAGACTTTAGTCCCGTTTTTGTCAAGAGCCATTGAGTCAGATCTTCATTTCGCTAAAATCAGTAACGTAGCAAGGGGGGGGGGGGGCGGGGTGGGGTGGGGGGGGACTTATGTCCACGGGCGCCGACCTAGGGGGCGCCAAAATGGGTTGGAAAAATAAATTGAAAGGTTGAGGGGGTGCAAATCTAAAGTTTGAGGGGGGTGCAAATGGAAATCTCGAGGGGGGGGGGGGTGCAAATCGAAAAGTTTGTCCCCGGGCATCGGGAAGGGTCGCTACGCCTCTGGCTAAAATATCATTTGAGAGGAAGAGAGAGAGAGAGAGACTAGTCCTTATTTATGCTTTTTAGTTTAAACTAAATGTTTTAGTCCTAGGTGCTTTATGTTTTAGAGAAATAAACTAATTGAAACGCTATGATGCATTGAAGAGAGGATTTATCCCAAACGCTGTAATTTTCCATGCGATAACTCTGTTTGCACTTTTTCCAACTTCAGTTGCGCTGTTTCAGTACGCATTTTTTCGGTGTCGGATTTTCTTGCGAATATTTCTAGTCACTACATTTAACTAATCACTATTGCCATACGCCAGAGGACACAGTTTAATGAATTCTCAGAGCATATAATTCCTTTGAATTTGAGTTAATGCATGCGATAAGTTATTTGAATTTACATTATTGCATTACTAATACCATCCGTAATTGATAGCTAGCTATTCAGACGTTTAGGGCTATAATTTTCTAGAATAATATCGAAAAAAAATTTACATGAAAATATCACAGAGTCCTTTTGAGCTACTCTGTTTATTCCCCTTTTAACTCACGGACACACAGACATGTAAATTCTGCATCAGTTATCAAAGAGTGCATCATCTACTAAAATCACATGGGGGTTGGGGTGGGGGGGTGGCGGTGGGACTATGTGATCTGGAAAGAAATGCACAGATTATTGTGTATTAGTACACGTGTTTCGTAGTTAAAAACCATTAAACTATGGATCCCACATTAATAAATATTTTTTTTTAGGTTTTAAAAATAGAACCAAACTTAATTTAAGATTTTAGTACTAAAATTGATATAAATGTACTTGGGGTTAAAGCTGTGAGGTTAACGTTTAATTGAAATTGAAATATTAGTTTTATTACTTAGATGCTTACAAGATTCTGGTAAAACGTAGTACCGTTAACGATTTGTAATATAATTGGCATAATTTAAATTGTATTGTTTTATTATATAAGATTTCTATAAAAATTAAAGAGATATTTCCGGTACTTCTGTCACGCAGGTGGAGACAATCGGCGATGCGTACATGGTGGTGAGTGGTCTGCCCATCAGGAACGGTAACCGTCACGCAGGGGAGATAGGCACGCTGGCTCTGGTCCTGTTGAGTCAGTGCGGCAAGTTCACAATCAGGCACATGCCCCAGGTTCCACTCCGTCTCAGGATAGGTCTGCATACAGGTGAGAATAGGTCTTTGATTACCTAGATTCTTTATGCATACAGGTGAGAATAGGTCTTTGGTTACCTAGATTCTATATGCATACAGGTGAGAATAGGTCTTTGGTTACCTAGATTCTATATGCATACAGGTGAGAATAGGTCTTTGATTACCTAGATTCTTTATGCATACAGATGAGAATAGGTCTTTATTTACTTAGATATATTCTATATGTGGACAGGTGGGATTGTATTTACCTAAATAGATTCTGTATATCTATAGGTGAGATTAGGTCTTTATTTACCTAGACAGATTCTATGTATACAGATGAGTTTTTATGAAACTGGGTAGTTTCTATATGCATACATGTGGGTTTTTATTTATCTAGATATATTATATATATATATATATATATATATATATATATATATATATATATATATATATATATATATATATATATATATACAGGTGAGAATATATTATTATTTTCCTTGATGGATTCTATTAGTATACAGGTAAAAATAGGATTTTATTTACATAGATCGATTCTATATGTATAAAGATGAGCAGTTTATTTACCTAAATAGATTCTATATCCACACCAGTGAATGTAGGTGTTTATTTACCTAGAGAATAGGCATGTCTTTCTGCTTACAAGTGGAAGTAGATTTCGGTTTGGCTAGGTAAAATTTGTATACTACAACGTATTTCCGACCTCAAAACGAGAATACATTTTCTTAACAATCTATACCTCTTTGTAAATAGTTATGAATAGATTATTGTTAAACAGGCTAGAACGTCTTTGTATGCTGAGATGAATCGAGTTAAAATCCCATCTAACAACAGCTTCAATGTTGATTTGTGTCGATCCTTTGAGTCTCCATCACGAACAATAGCTAATGCAGTTTTGAATTTTTATTGCACTGGAGGATTGGTTTTCTTTTCTGCACACAAACTCTTTTGATCTATTCTTCAATTGTGTGTGTCTGTTTATGTGTGCGCGTTTGTGCTTGCTTGTGTGCTTGCTTTGCTGGGTGAGAGAGAGAGAGAGAGAGAGAGAGAGAGAAAGAGAGAGAGAGAGAGAGAAAAAAAAATATCTGAGTATTTTAATTACTTATGTTACTTTCCTGCAGTGGCGTAGCCAGGGTCGTCTCAAGAGGGGGGAGGGGTTCCAATTTTTACCCGGGGAAAAACTTTCGATTTGCACCCCCCCTCAAACTTTCGATTTGCACCCCCCTTCCCCTCAAACGTTTGATTTGCACCCTCCCTCAGACTTTTCTTTTCCATCCCCCCCCCCCTTCAAACTTTCGATTTGCACCCCTTCCCCGCATACTTTATATATATACCGAGGGGTCTATGGGGGGGGGGGTTATGACCACCCCTAACCCCCCCCCCCCCCTGCCTACGCCACTGCTTTCCTGGCTTTATTCAGATTAATTTAGCCATTACATTTTGACTTGCTCTAACCTTAGCCGTAAGCTAAACCGTATCCTAATCCTAGCTTAACTGAAACCCGAAGTCGAACCAAATTACAACACCAGCTTTATCCACAGGTTAGCAGTGACAGGAACAACAACCCTGGTCCCGCCCCCTAATCTTGACTCTAGTCACTACCCATTACCCAACTCCCAAAATTTATTCTTCGTTCAAGTTAATGTTGGAAGGGATTCCCTCCAACTCAATAAAGTTTTACGTTTCAACTTGTTATGCGCCATACAGGCCGTTGAATCCGATTTCAGCCTGCTTTTTTTTTCGGATATGCTTCCATAGCCTTTGTCCAACCAAGAACAAAACTACTTTTACAATCTTTTTTAATTTTAATTTTTTTTTGAAAGGGTGCGTACACTGGAACATATTGAGGTTATACGCGAATGTTATAAATTATAATGCATTGAAAACAAATTTGCTAATACCGCATTAATACCCCGTCACTCTCCAAAGAAAGATGAACATAACCAATAATTCGGTTAAACTAATTGAGTCATTAAAACCACTCGATTGAACCAACTTCCGGTTGAAACATTTTTTAACACCCCCCACCTCTAAATAGGATGTAATTTTATAAATATAATCAATGCCCACCTTACACAACAGGATAAAACTCCAATTATTAGAAAATTGAGGACTATTATCCTCCCCCCCCCCGGCTGTTAATAATGTCGGTATCCCCCCCTTCCCCCTCCCCGAAAAAAAACCCTGCAACCTCACCCGTGCTTCAGCTAATCAGGAGACTGCATTCGGCATCAGAGCCAGGCCTTTAATTAATTGGAACGATGCCGGCATGATTGCTAGATCGAAACCTGTAAATTTTTGCTCAATTATGACCGTTAGTAAACAGTGTACTACGTGACGTATGTACTTAAACAGGAAGTAACTTTTTAAAAAAAATATTTTTTTGCTCAACTTCGGATATTACAAACAGGCAGTTGCGACGTATTATTTAAAACAAATTATAAATCAAACGTGATCTCTTTGTTTATGAAATATAACAGTAGAAATTCTAAAATGCATTCTTTACTATAGACACTTTGATTGGCTTGTAATGAGAAACACAAAAATAGATCATCTTTTCCGATTCGTTCCCAATATACATGTGGAGGATGAAGTAGAGTTAATCTATTTTAATGACCTTGACATTCGAATGAATAGTGTGGTTAGCACTATGCACAACCGCTTTTGTTTTCCTAACATGAGTTGGGTACCCATCAGAGCAGGCAGTACTGAGGGACGTTCAACAGGATCCGATCATGATATTTTCGAGTTAGCAGTCGTAAGCTCTACCATTCGACCACGCCATTCTATTCTGCTTACACCGTAAGACTGAAATCTAAATCATTTTTAACTTCATGTAAAAATTTAATTCATAGGATAGTGCTTCTAAACTAATGTTTGAGTGACGTATATAATTTGATGTGCGCATTTCAGTATAATTGCTGATAGTCAAATAGTTCATGCATTACATCAAAATCTTATGACACAGTTGGTAATATCACCGGGGTTAGATTGACCTTTCATTTATCATTTCCACTTTTCTGTAATGACTTAACCATAATGCATTCATGTGGAAAATTATCTCAAATCTGCATAATTAAGAATAGACTCTTTAATTAGTTCGGGTTTTTGAGATAAACTATACCCTGTAATTAAGTTAATATTCTTGTTGTTAATGAGACAGATCTAATTAAGACACACGGACGTCATTAATATAGTAACATGGACATATACATATGTAATAGGACGCAATTTTTGTGTTGCATTCATTAATTCTATTGCCTTACGCATAAAGTGTGTTCGTTGTGTTTTCAGTGCTTTATATTGCCATGTCTGTGTAGATGTAGCAAAACAACATTGTGCCAAGGTTCTATGTTGTGTATGTGGAACATGTGAGTGTAACATATATATATATATATATATATATATATATATATATATATATATATATATATATATATATATATATATATATATATATATATATATATGTGTGTGTGTGTGTGTGTGTGTAACAATTGTTTCTAGGTTCGTGTGTAGCCTGGGTAATTGGTCTAACTATGCTCAGTTTCAATGTTGTGTATATGTAAAATGTATGTGTAATATGTATGTGTAACAAGTATATGTCATCTATCCTAAAGTTCGTGTGTAGCCTGGGTAGTTGGTCTCACTATGCTCAGTTTCAATGTTGTGTATGTGTACATGTGTATGTGAAACATGTATGTGTAACAGGTATATGTTATCTGTCCCCAGGTTCGTGTGTAGCTGGGGTAGTTGGTCTAACTATGCCACGGTTCTGTTTATTCGGTGACACGGTCAACACAGCTTCAAGAATGGAGTCCACGGGCGCAGGTAAGTCTGGTTAATCATTGCTAAGGTGCTTGACAATTCCTGTAACATTATTAGATTAATAGTAACATTGGTCATAATCTTATCATCTTTTCCCGTTAGTGCTCAATACAAATGGGGCAGATGAAGTAGAGTTCATCTCATAAGAGGGGATAGATTTGTCAACATTATGCCCTGCCGCCTTAATTTCCCTAACGTGTGTCTGGTACCTATCAGAGCTATGTGAACATGGACGTCGAAATGGCTCGAGCTCACGATCCGAACTCGAGACTTTCGGGTTAGCAGTCGAAAGCTCTACCATTTAACCACACCGCCTCCAACATTGTAACGAAGCTAAGCAAACAAGCAGCTTTTAAATACAAGGTGGTCCACGTTTGAAGGCGTATGTAATCCAGACTCGAAAGATTGCCTCAAGAAACTGAGTGCCCTACTAAGAAGGGGGGAAAGAAATAGGAGCGATAACAACTCCCGGAGTTATCGCCCGCTGGCAGATTCTTTAGTAGTAGGTCTGGGAAACGATAATAGTAATCAATTACAGAAAATTGGAGAAGGGATGAACCGTTCTAGACGGCTGGGAGGAAAGTTCTAGACTTGATAGGTCATTTCAGTGCTATGGCTTCAGGGTTAGCGAGGGGGAAACTTAAAATATAGTATGGGTTTTACCTCGTTTCTCGTTTTGATGAATATGGTGTATATTTTTAGATACACACACACACTAACACACACAAATACACACACACACACACACACACACACACACATATATATATATATATATATATATATATATATATATATATATATATATATATATATATATATATATATATATATATATATATATATATATATACATTTATATATATATATATACATATAAATACAGTTATATATATATATATATATATATATATATATATATATATATATATATATATATATATATATATATATACATATAGATATATGCGTGCGAGAGTGTGCATGAATATACATATGCAGCAAGAGAGAGAGAGAAAGGAAGAGAGAAAGAGTTAATTTTATTTGTTTCATAAAGTTGTACCACAAGTTGTCTCGAATATGTGTGGTGTTCTAGAGTAAATTGTTTGAACATGTGTTTAGTCAAAGTTATGTATTTTGGACACATCCCTTTCACCCCAACTCCCCCACCCCTTCAGCTTTCAGGATTCACATCTCAGAGACATGTAAGATGGCGCTAGACGTGCTGGGAGGTTATAAGACAGAGTACAGAGGTCAAACGGAGTTAAAGGTTAAAGTTTATTGTGTTTAGATATATAACGGTGTTGTGTATTTGTTAGTGTCAATATATATATATATATATATATATATATATATATATATATATATATATATATATATATATATATATATATATATATATATATATAGGAGAGTGAGAGACAGAGGGAGTGAGATTTGCAAGGTTTTGTACACTAAACTCAGTACTCTTCATTTTGCTTTGTGAATTGCTCATAAATTTTAAAAAGATGGAACATCTCCTTTTCCTGTCTTTCTAAAGACTGAAGTTGATTCGTTGACTACTAAGTACTTGCCATGAAATATTCACGGCCAAGAAAGTCTGGCTGAAAGAGTTAGGAAAAGGTTATGTTAGGTGCTCTTCTAAACCCAATGAGACGTGACCAATGTCTGAATGTTGGCTGTGAGCGAACTATTCGTTTTACAACTTACAGTACGAGTGAAGTTGAATGTGATATATCTGGCGTGTACACTCTCCTCGACTTTACCACATTAGCTTATTTGTTAGGACCACATTACAAAACTAATATTTGACCACTTTACGAATCCAAAGGTTGTCTTTGGGTTATTTTAAATGTGATTAAATAAGAATTTGTACATAGATCCCCGTTATGGTCCAATATCCTCCTCCAATAGGGCTTGTAAGTAGGTCACCAACTTCTCGTTATCGTACTTGCCAGATAGCATTTTTCAAGCCAAATGTGAATATTTTTATTACATCGTTAAAAAATAAATAGAAGCGTTACTTCGGCTATTGTTAAGTTATTTAAAATAGTAAACAATGGTAATGATAGACTACAAGATGTAGCCTAGCTTTATGAAAAATAAAGCCTAGGTGGAGTTGTGATTTTTTTTAAATTTTGAAGCCTAGAAATAAAATAGCTGGCATTTAAAAAAATCAAACGGAAATCATGTTAATAATCCGAAAATGTATATCTCTCCCTAGCCAACGAGATTTCAAATTTTAAATGAGAAAAAACGAGAGACTTTCTAGCCCAATTGAACACCACATTACTTTGTCCGTAATAGTTGTTTCTATATATCTTATAGTGTCAACCTTGTATGATTTTGAAATGTATATGCCAGCCGAATTTAGTATTTATAATATTTACATACAAGAAACTATAGTTTAAGTCTTATATATCGCTCACATTATTGGTTATTTAAAATGTAACACTAACTACTTAGAATTACAAACATCCATTAAGATACTACCATTTTTCGCTTATTTCAAACAAAGACCTTGAACATACAGAAAAAACAAAATAAATGTACATCAAATGTTAAGCCTCCAGCTGTATTTAATACACAGCTGAGCAATCAATACTACATTAAATTCCTCTTTGCCATTTTTAACATTAAATTCCTCTTTGCTATTTTTAACATTAGATTCCTCTTTGCTATTTTTAACATTAGATTCATGTTTGCTATTTTTATTTCTCACGTTGAATGTCTTGTGCAATTTTGTTTATAATTGATATGCTTCGTTTTAAGGTGTTAGAAGCTTTTACCCAGAATAGTTAATTAAAAAATGGGATTTAATTATGTCTATAAATAATCTCACGTTTAAATACATTCATTGTAGCTAGCCTATTTCTATGTTTCTATGTTGTTGTTGCGATCTCACTGCATAGATGGCGCCGCAGTTAGATATAATTTGAGCATATTCCACTTATTTAAATAATCAAATCAAGTCATCCCTAACTGCATTAATTATGCAATAAGCTCTGTTAATTTATAAACTTGTTTACCCAGCGGTGTAAGAATTTGATTTGGGTGCGTCCAATATCCATATGTTGCCAGATAAATGTTTTTCGGGATTTGAATCCAACAGGAAGATCAAACGTTGAACTAGAAGAAAATAATAATTATTTTGATACAGAATTCTGAAATAAGCCGAAATGATGTTATCACAAACTTGTATTAACTTTTGTGAACATGTGTACTAGTTTAAGAATCTCACCTGTTTTATAAATAAAATTGTTTAAATTCTAATATAACAATTTCCCAAAGATCTCTGGGGTTTTCTTTCAGTAGATTTAATTTAAGATAAATTTCATAGTTCAACAGTCATATTTTTAAAAAGATTTTATTACTAAATTTTTTAAAAAGTAGGAGTTTTATGAAAAACGAAACAAGTTTAACTGACCCAGAGGTGGGGAAAGACGATTGGATCAATTTAGAAAACTGTCTAACGTTGAAATTATATAAGCTGATTCAGGGGCGTAGCGAGGGGGCGGGGCGGAGGGGGGCGGACCGCACCGGGTGACACCATTTAGGGGGTAACACCAAGGCGAAAAATAGCAACTTGAGGGGGGGGGGTGCAAATCGAAAGTTTTAGGGGGGGGGGTGCAAATTGAAAACTTTAAAGTTTGTCCCCGGGAAGGGTCGCTACGCCTCTGGGGGGTGACACCATTAAGTGCCGCTCCGGGTGACACCCGACCTCGCTACGCCACTGAGCTGATTGTACCTTTTGCCTTCGTAAAATATATTACAGGTCGGCCTTGATTATATGTCTCGTCTATTTTCAATTGGCCTCTAATTTGTTTTGTACCGTCCCTCTCAGGGTAAAGGCATGCACAACACATACTGGCTTGTGGGGAAAGAAGGATTTGATAAAGAACTCCCGGAACCGCCAGCGCTTGTCGGGTAGGTTACGTCCCTTTTTAAACTCTGGTAGACTAGGTTACTTCCCCTGTGTAATCAACGTTTGATTATGTTACATTTATTTTCAAAGAATGGTTGGATAAGTTATTTTACTTATAAAATCGTCTTCACATCTAGCGTCATCTTGGAATTTGAACTTAGGACTTTTCGGGTTACCAACCATATGCTTATCAGTCCTACCTATTCCCCCCCCCCCCCCCCTCCAACCCCCCCCCCCCCCCCCTCCGCGATCTAGAATTATTTTAATAACAAAATAGATTTTCAAATTCCCATGAATCTCTGGAGAGTTGTAAACAATGTTGTCTTAGCTTCAAATAACAACAGATTGTTTCTTGAAAAACATATTTCTGAAGTTCAACTGTACCCATGTTATGATGTAAACTAGTATTTGAAAAACATAAGCCACATTTACGTAATTTTTTTTTCATTATCGGTAACGTAATTGAGTTTACACGCTTCATTGGTTTCTTAACCAGATTCATTTTCCTATATTTGTTACGCCTGTTTCAACCTGGTTACTTCCTCCTGGGTTGTGTTTACGTAAACAATTACCATGGCAACCATCTATGTTTGTAAATTAAATTTTGATTAAAAATGTCCTTGTATATGTTTTTTTTTTATTAATTTGATAAATTAATTTAGCGTATCTTGTAAAATCTTGGCTGTGATTTATTATAACGATAATTATTGTTTCATGCATGCAGCGATAACACGCATGGGTGAGTACTCCTTTTCATTAGACCTCGGCTCATTTCTTGCTGAGCTCGCCCATAACAAATTGCCGAATCATTCAACCGAATAATTTCATTATAGAATTGATTGGTAAATTTAACATCCAATTAGCCTAATTAGAAAGGGGGGTTTAATGATTTTTTTTTTTAAATTTACAGGCTTGATTCGATTCTGGGTGACCTCAAACTTGACCTTAAGACTGGCGTGAACTTGGCGATTCCTGAGATTATTGGCAAGTCTAGTTCCGCACCGAATTTAATGGCGTCCAATCCTAACCATAGCCCGGATGACAAGTCTGACGTCACCGAGATGCTGGACTTATCACAGACTAGCATTCCGACTTTAGACGAGCTTCATCGGAACTCATGCACTCAAGCTAAAAATAGAAACACGAGCATCGTCACTGTTGACATCAACATGACGAACGAAACTCCGCGGTTGCCCAATGACGTCAGCGATGCCGTGACGGACGGAGCGGCGGTGCCGGCGTTGAAGAACAGCCACAGCGAGAGTGACGACAGCGGGTTCGGATCCGAGAGGAAACATTCCCACGGCAGCGATACGTACGTGGTCGGGCCCGGCAACGACAAGATGAAGCGGACGAACCACAGCAAGAACGCCGTCGTGTCGTCGTCGGATGTCTCCTTACACACGAACTACTCGCTGTTGGTGGACTTCGGGGACGAGCTGACCCCCGTCACGGAGGTCTGAAGGATGGTCATGTGACCCCCGTCACGGAGGTCTGAAGGATGGTCATGTGACCCCCGTCACGGAGGTCTGAAGGATGGTCATGTGACCCGGATCGCAAGAGATCCGAGAGACACACAGGTCATCCCATTGTAACAGAAGAGTTACCGCTACTTTAGTCAAAGTGTCCATTGTATGGGCTAGACCAGAGTTTATAAACCGTTACGGTGGTACCGAACCCCATCAGTTTCATATCCACATTCAGCAAACCCATCTTAATAGTTATGTTGTTCGCATTGACAAAATCCGATCGTGAATTATATGAGTTTTGGTGTGTGTCTTTACCTCCGCCGAATCACTGAGAGTGAATTATCGAACACCTGGTGTTTGATCAAAATCAGGTTAATAAGCACTATGCGAGACAATGTATATACCGTTTAAATAAGACAATGTGTTCATTTGGTGTTGGAAAAAAGTACATACATTAACGGTACTGAGATAAATTTATTAAATGGCCCAAGTGATGTGCCCAATATTGTTGTTTGGAAAATATTTTAACATGGTTATCTATAAATATATCAGCATGGTTGTCCAGAATATATGTCCACTATGTAGACCAAATAATGTGCCCGTCTGTAGCGCCGCCCATACAAGAATATATTTCTTGGCATAAGACCAAAAGCTAACGCATGCTTCAGAAACTGTCAGTTGACCGAATTTTACGAAATAGATTTAAAAAAAAATAATCTCTAAGCCGTATTGACACGAGTATGATACTTTGTTAGCTATTTACTCACAACATAGTCTCTGAAAAGGTACCCACAGCGCAATGTTGATTGGCACGAATATCGCGCATACTTTTTTTTTACTTAAGAACTGCCGTAGTTACTGGTGACAATATGAAACAAATTCAGCGAATTTCAGTCGGGTTCTGTCAATTTTATGTCAGCTAATCAGTCATCTCCTACACCAAAGCGAGATCATTCAGTGCATCATGGGTGGTAATTCTAGCAAAAAAAAAAAAAAAAAAAAAAATAAAACCAACAACTTTGAAGGGACACAGTATTAACGAGATGTGAAGACGGTCGAAAGCAGCGGTTACAAAACGGAGCTCTAACGAACGCAATTACCGTAGCAGTCGCTCCTACAAATATTGGCTCAGCGCCGTGTCATCCAGTGCTTTACAATTCGATTCATCTTATTACCAGTTATCACCCTTTTTCCCCGTGGTTGTCGGTCTTGTCCGGAATTATCTTTTTCCTTGTATTGATCTCCCCCTGAACGCGGGTCTAGTTGGGTGGGTAAAAAACTGTAAATATGAAGCGAGGCGTTTAATATATTGACGCAATAATCGGCGATTGATGCTATGTTATTTTAATTCTGTTCATAATAGCTCGCGATCTTGATCAAGGGAATCCACTTATTTAATGGCGGTATATCGTGTCTAACACGACACAAAAATAATCAAAATTTATATCACTGCATTTACTTTAAAATCTTATCAATTTTTGATTGTAATAATATTTATGCAAATAGTTACATTTTTGTGATACGGAGCAAGTGTAAAGTTCAAAGGTCAAGCGCACATCTGTGGTACCAGTGTTTTCATTACTGGACACGTTGTTGGGCTGTTGTTCAAGGACCAAAAGATGTTGCTGTGGACAATGGTACCTGTGAGATACCAAGCGTGTGTTCAAACTTTTCTCTTCTCGTGTGTTTGCAATCTCATGCCGAATGTTGTAAGAAAACATGTACATATATCAGATAATGTATAAGATATATTATGGTGTAGTCGCTATCTAATTTTATCGTTTGAGAAAAAAGAATGGAAGATATATTTAAGTGTGTCTGCAAAGTAAAGCCGTCTTTTAAAAATGTATACAACTATTTTTTTTTTTTACAATCTAATGTCGTTTGAAAAAAAAAAGATTAAAAAACGATTCTGTTGTGTTTGTAATTTAATTGATTGTTTAGGTCATAAAAGACAGGTTTAGATATTTAAAAATGTGTTCAATTATTGTATGTTTTATTCATCATACTCATTGGGAAATTATGATATTCGACGTATAAAGATAACTCATCAAATTACTTCTTGAAGATGTACTTATGTATACAGAACTTTAATTTGTTTTTTCATTATAAGTCTTGAGTATGAGTTGATTTGGCTGGATACGTTGTATTCAGTCATTGTTTATGATTAAATTTGTATTTGTATAAGCTTGTATTTTCTTCAATACATTGAATTTTGTCATGTTTATAATATTTGTCTATAGAATGTTCTGGAATGTATCTTTGTATGTGAGTCAGCACTATACAACAGACAGAATAGGTTGTGTAATACGTCAAGACTAGCTCGAAATTTAATTTGAGATAGTTGTAAGTATGTTTGTCATATATGTCAGCATGTATGATTTTTTTCTCGCTTCCACGACCAGACATTCAAAGAATGTTTCTGTATTTTGTTATTTTCTACATGTCTGCATCGTACTCGAAGTAGGCATTACTAAATCATGTGTTCAAAGATTCGCAACAATTTTGAATATGTTGTTGTTAATATTTTTAAAAATAAAATAAAAAATTAAGCGCGTATGGCTATTAAATTATGTGTTCAAACATTTTAAACAATATTTTTAAATCTTGACTTACCATTTGCCAAAAAAGGAGTTTGTCTCCTTGCCCTTCGTATCCCCAATACATTTTTTTCCGTTTTAAAAAAATATCATATTTAATAAAAGAAAAGTGATGTTTCAGTCTTTGTTAAATTTAATTGAAGAAACTTGGCCAGAATATTTTAAATCCACTTTTTCGTCCACTGATTAAACCTGAAATTCCTTGAAACCCCAAGACAAGTAACTACACATTCATTTAGCAGAGTAAGAGAGTTTTTTCAGAAATTTCTAGAATGGTCACTGTCCCCTCCCCGAGACCACGTCCACACCTACACCCCGGAGAAAAGATATATATATATTTCCCATATAATTTATATATATAAATATATATATATATATATATATATATATATATATATATATATATATATATATATATATATATATATATATATATATAAATTATATGGGAAATATATACTTAAACCATTGTGAGCCTCATTTGAAGCTTAAAATGCACCCCTCCTCCCCCTTGAAGTTATGAGAGGCCCCCCCCCCCCCCCCCCGTGTTCTCTTGGAAAAAAATCCTGAAAGAAATACTACTGTGTAGAAGGTAATTTCTCCTTAACAAAATACAAAATCTGCACAAAATACATCAGAAGATCTAATCTGGTGTTAGTGACACCATCACATGATGTTTATTTTGTCGTTTAAATATTTTGAATAATTTAGGAGTTAAATATTACGTGTATTTTTTAAGTTAATTAATCTAAATTCCGTCCAAGACCATGTTCACATGTATTGTCATCATGTTTTTGATTGAAATTCACAACTTTTAATATTTTATAGTCTCTTACTTATTTTAAATCAATAGAATTTATTTTTTTGTTTACTGTTTTTGACCTTTCAACCCTGACCTCTTGAGGTCAGACTATCCACATGCTCTGTGATACTGGTTAACTACCCTATTACGGTTTCTTTTAAAAATATTTCTGTGCTAGACATTCAGATAAGAAATGTTTTCTTTCTAATTCCCAAGTTAAAACTATTAATTATATTAAATTTAGGATAGTGTTTTTGAAATAAAGACGCAATAATATTTTTTTCGTTTCATAATTTACAGAATATGTATGTTGATATTTATTTTATATTTCAGGACAATTATTTAAAACAATTTAAACAATTAATATAATTTTCTTACAGTAAAAGGGAAACAATCCAACATTATGTCAATCCCGAATATATTATCGTTTTATCCTCCCCTTAGAAGTATCTTTAAACCTATGTACATGTTTTGAATTCATTGTAAATATGTAAGGTAAAATCTAGAATTGTTCTTTCAACTATACATAAATTGTTAATGGTTCATTGAATGTCGTTTTTCCCCCGGTCATTAAGGACTGGTGTTTATTCATGACTTTTTACTTGATAAATTATTAATGATAATGTTTTAACAATTTTTCTTAATGTTTATGACAATCTGCCAACATTATGCTATTTCAGTATACTTCATCTTGCAAACCAGCTGTTACGTTTTTTAAGGGGACAGTATCGCCCAGACAAATGAAAATTGACGAAAAAATGTGCCCAAAAAAAAACAAACTATTATACATACACACATACATTTTTTAACATAGTAGTGATAATCAAAGAGCTATAAAACAGCACGTTAAAGAAATTTAATGTACGATGCAAACATTTTTTTTTATAAATAATTTGACAAAAAGAAAATTTTTTGGTGAATTTTTTTGTTTCTCTCCCTTTGTCTGGGTGTGATACTGCCCCCTTAATAAAAAACGCTTTTAAAAAAATCAATACTAATATAACATTTGTGGGGCTCCAAAAATATTATACTTCAGCACTACCAGTTAGATTTTGCGTTATAATAATTGGATGTGGGGTAGTGGATCAATGATTTCACACACCAATAGAGGACGAGAGTTTAGGCTTTTGTTATTTTGTCCTACTTGAGCTAGGTTAAGCCATGAGGCTTAAAATAGGAGGTTAATTATATCATGAGGTTAATTATAAATATGAGGTTAATTATATTATGAGGTTAATTATAAATATGAGGTTAATTATATTATGCAGGTGTTAGAAATTAACTTTAGTTTACCTTAAACGTATAATTGTTAAGGGGGGGGTGGGGGGTGGGGGGGGGGGGGGGGGGGTTGAACGTTTTCATACCATGCTGAAAAGGGTTGAGGGGGGGGGGGGTCAGGTTTGACGTGAATATATATTTTGTCCTATTTGAGCTAGGTTAAGCCATGAGGTGTAAAATATGAGGTTATTTATATTATGAGGTTAATTATAAATATGAGGTTAATTATATTATGCAGGTGTTAGAAATTAACTTTAGTTTACCTTAAACGTATAATTGTTAAGGGGGGGGGGGTGGGGGGGTTGAACGTTTTCATACCATGCTGAAAAGGGTTTAGGGGGGGGGGGGTCAGGTTTGACGTGAATATATATTTTGTCCTATTTG